AAGAAACTCCTCCTCGACCATCGCCATAATTCTGCCCGATGCCCGAGCGACGTTGAAATTCTACTCGATGCCTAAGTGACGCCGGAATCCTGCCCAAGTCACGCATGAATTTTTCTTGACGCCCAAGTAACTATGGAATTCTGTCCGACGCCCAAGTGATGCCGGAATTATAAGTGACTCTGAATTCAGCTTGAATATACAACTTGTTTGTAATTAGATTTCAATCCGGAAGTGAAGCATTGTAATCTGATCGTCCTAAATTTTAAGGACGAGTCAGCCTCTTGTACCTCAAGCTAACACTAGTTGAATTATTTCAACTAGGCGTGACCCCGTGATTTTTCCCTTTTCAGGATTTTCTACGTAAAAATCCCGATGTTATTATTTCTCCCATGTTTGTGTGCTAGATATCCGTATAACGCTGAGACGGAAATTTTCTAACTCTATCGCCGCATATATTCTAGTCGGCAACATACATATATAATATTAAAATATTAGAGAATGTAAATATCTTAATATGTACTTATACTATATAAAAAATATAAAAAAAATTAGAAGGCATGAAATTATTCTGTGCGGACATGGAACTGCTCAGAGGTGAATTAATTAGAATGCGCCATGTCACCCGATACATAGCGGTACATAGTCGCGATACACAACAAACAGATGACGTAGCGCTTTCTGATTCGCCTCCAAACGACATCTGTATCCGCACAAAATAATTTCACGGATATAGGACCTTTTATATCCCCTTAAATCTATTATAAAAAAGGAGATTTACATACATACCATCATATACTATTTTATTTACATATTTAACATCTAAAATTTTAATATTATATATATATACCACTTATAGTTTATTTTCATATTAAATATGAGTGATAAAAATGAAATATATGAGTAGTAGAAAAAAAATATGAGTTAATATTTGATATTAAAATAATATAAGACCATTTTGACATCTCTTACTTGAAATCATAATTCTTTTGAGATCTTTAGTCATAAAAATAATTGGTATTTGTCTAAGAGGCCGACTGACACCGGCCAAGTAGGGGTCTGGACGAATCCACGTCGAGGATTCGGTGACGGGACCAAGAACTCCTTCTTCGGGGAGGGATCACCACCTGAAATCCTTCAGGATACAGAAACCCAAAACAAGAGTAAAACTACTCAAATATTATTCATCTCAAATCTCCTTATTACAAGACCTTGGCTATCTATTTATAGCCAACAAGGAAGCATCATACTAGGCTACATACATAATAAGAAAGCATTAAACCTTTATATCCATATACTACCAAATGACATTAATATAGCCTGAAGTTTAATACAAATAACGGCTCAGCTCCGGCGTCATACTACCGGGGTAGGAGGAACTTCAGGCTCAAAGGAAAATGTCTGATTGGCCACCATAAGGAGGTGGGTTTGGTTGGCTAAACAGATCTGGATAGGTCCATCCGGTATCGATTTGCCTACCAATCTTCAATATCTCAAGAGTAGCATAAGCGGATGGAATAATTGTGATTGTGAAAGCATCTAGGACCAAATTTGTTTCTTTCAGCCATCTAGAAGAGAAGATAAGAGATTCACGATCCAAACCATTGAAGAGATCTTTACATGTAATTTTTTTATCAATGATGGTGAGCATAATTGTTGTCTTGTTCGGAACATGGTGAATGAATAGTTTCGGTTGGACATTTGACTGCGGCTGGCCATCCATTTTTCCCTCATCATCATCATATATTGGCTTATCAAAATCAAGAACTTCACCGATCATGTCATCATTATACACGTCGTACACCGGCTCATCATAGAGAGGCAAAGACGACGAATTAGATAATGGATCTTCAAATTCTTCAAAGCTGGACTCGATCGAGGGTGGGGTAGAAGATTGACTAGGAGGTCCTTCAAACATGTCGTTGCCGACAAAAGAGAACTGATCATCTAATGTAACCTCTTCCTCGTTATCAGTTCGTAAGGATCTTTGCTCAATATTTGACAATCTTAATTTGAGTCGGGCAATTTCTTGTAGAAGATATTCTATTTCTTCTTCTCGACATGGTCGTTGCCGAGTCTGACGAGGCCACATATTGCTTTATTTATTGCTGTTTCTTGACCGTTTGGATAAGCCACCGTGATCTTCAAGAAGGGAGGAATTTTGTTTCTTGAGCGTCCTCTGTTCTCTCTTTTGTTTCCTGATTTGAATTTTCACGTGGTGAAGATTCAAGAAGAGAGGAAAGAATTATTGTCGCTTCTTGAGGAGAAATTCACTTGAATCTCTCTAGATGCATACTTCCTTGAGGGTGGGTGTCTTGCACGGCAGCAATGAAGTGGTCGAATGTTGTGACGCAGGGATTCGGTGGCTGAATGAGCCGGGTAGGAGAAAAAAAAAATGAGAAATTTGAAGATCCGCCAAGGAGGAAATCAGTCAACTCTTTGGATTTTTGTCCAAGATACCGAAAACAACACAAGAATAATCTACTGGAAGACTACAGCACCCTTCTTGCCTTCTGGACCGCACTTCTTGACAGCTTGAAGGAGAAAGAAACCGCCAAAATGCATGAGAGGAAGAGATGGAAACCTGTTTCACGGATGAGACGCACGAATGGACGAAAATCACGCCCAGCTCTCTTCCGAGACAGTCAGCATGGCTGCAGGCAGCGGAAAGAACCTGATGATGCCAATCCAGACACTTGGGGGATTGGCTCTGATACCAAATGACACCGGCCAAGTAGGGGTCTGGACGAATCCACGTCAAGGATCCGGTGACGGGACCAAGAACTCCTTCTTCGGGGAGGGATCACCACCTGAAATCCTTCAGGATACAGAAACCCAAAAACAGAGTAAAAACTACTCAAATATTATTCATCTCAAATCTTCCTTATTACAAGACCTTGGCTATCTATTTATAGCCAACAAGGAAGCATCATACTAGGCTACATATAGAATAAGAAAGCATTAAACCTTTATATCCATATACTACCAAATGACATTAATATAGCCTGAAGTTTAAAACAAATAACGGCTCAGCTCCGACGTCACCGACACTACATTTATTTTATAACGGGGTTGACATTTTTTATTATGGCTTCAAGATCATACAATTTGATGCCCCATGTGTATTTATTGATGCTTCATGAAATACTTGCTTATGGAGTATGGTAGCTATTTTCTATTTGTATATTGTTCTTGACTAAAGTTTTGAAAATCAAGCTTAACTGCTTCCACAATGTACATTTTTAATTAGTATTTTATGAGCAACTTAAAAACAATTTATACTATTTCACAAACTCCTCTTCTCCTCAATTGAATTTTAATATACTAAAAATCAAATTTAATTTGCTTTTATTTTAGAATAAATCTCTAACACATAGGTATATAAATGAGAATGTATGTAGTCATTTGCTTAAGCTTAAGAGATTTAATTGAAGAATATTCACAGTGAGTATCATTTTTTTGCAAACTAAGCTAGCTTTCGGTTAGATGGGGTTAGTTTGGCAACATCAATCAAATAAAGATAACAGGGCGATGCGAGTGGGATAATAGCGGTTGGACAAATGATAAATAGATTGTATAAAATAAGTTACATAATTAAAGTTTTCAATCCATTGAACTCAGCATACATGTTGCTTGCTCTATTATAACCCTATTAGCTAGTTTGGTATGGAATTTTTCTCTTACACAACATACATGACTATAATTTACACAATTTAAGAATCTCTTATTCTGTCAATTTATGAAAAAACGGATCTTCATATAAAAATCTGGATAAAAATATGTTAATACACTAGACAATAATTCAGTTATAATCAAGCGGCACATTATTAATTACTATTGTATTGACTAATCAAATTCACATGTGTACAATAATTACAACAACTAAATTATCAAATACACTTGTTTCCAACTGGAAGCTAAAAAAAGTAAAGGGTAAGACATAATAAGAATGTTCAATCGAGAAATCAAATGAATATATGATTTGTATAAGATAAACCTCGTTTGAAATCAAAATATGGTTAAAATGTTTTGTTAAAGTCTAAAGCAAAAGTGTTCCTTAAGTAAGATTGGATTATGCCCATAGTATTCACATAATTTTTCACTAAAACAATATAATCATAGGAATGGTCAGAACTTTAAGCAAATATAATCATGAAAATATGAACTATTATAACTAACCCTTTTCCTCTTCTTTAAGATCTCGGCGGTGTTATAGTGAGGACGACACTCCCCAGTCAGCCATCGCCAGGCAATCCCTTCTTCCATGGACATCTAGCTTCTCATTTTGTAAAAAATGGGATTTTTTATAATATTTTGGGAGTGACAATTTCATAAATTTAGCAAAAAAATTATAGCGTTTAATCTAATGGCTCAAATTGAATTATTTCATTATAAATTGTTTGTACAACATTTAAATAGTTAATGACTTCATAATCAAGTGATCATTAGCTCGTTGGATTTATCTTATTGAGCAAGTCAATTTAATTTTAAGCATGCAATATTTGGATATTATCTGACACTTCAATCAATGTCATGAATTTTTCATATATGCTTTAATTTTTTAATTTAGACTCATTTGTACTAAACACATATCACTCGTCAAGCCATTCAATTTGACTATAATAAGTTTATTAAAATAATAATTTGAATGATTCATAATTTTATTTTGAGAAATTTTTAACTTAAATAACAGATCAAGTTATATATCAATTAAATAAATTTTCTTATGACCTATCAATTACATAAATCTAATAGTTATAAGTAATTATAAGTGATTTTGATTATTTTTTGATCAAAATATATTGATATAAAATTAAAAGTAATCACTTTTTATTCAGTTAATTTTTTTTATTTAAAATTTTGAGCTCAATTCGATTTACAAAGCCGGGCCCACTATAACGGTCTGATTCCAGTAAGTCCGGGCCATGGCAGCTATATGGTCGCACTCCGCGTTTTCCACACTACATACTGTATAAAAGGGGCAGGTCGACATGTTTACAGATCAGACACAGTTCACGTCGACGCCAGCTTGCCCACACGACTCCCACGTCAACTGGCAGCCGGCCTTCCGCTACGCACGTTATGGCGTGGGCTCACTTGAATCGCATTCGCGAGTAATCAGATCAGTTCCACAGCAGAGGGGGGAGAGAGAGAGAAGAAGCGGAAAAGAGTGGAAAACGAAAAGTTCCTCCTTAATGCATCTTTGAATCGACTCCGCGTGGAAGCGTAAAATTCTTCCACGGATCTCCGTTACACATAAAATGTCTTTGATTTCGGGTTTCACAAGGAGGCGATCGAGTTCATTGCGTTTCCTCGATTGATCGATCCCGCCGGCTGAAAGGAGGAAAGAGTTAGGTTATTCCGATGTCGTCTAGTGGGGGAGGCGGTGGCAGCAGCGGCAGCCCCTGTGTCGATCGGATGATGCCACTTTCGGTTCTATTGAAGCGGGAGCTGACTAGCGAGAAGATCGAGAAGCCTGATATTCTCCATGGTCTTGCCAACAAAAGTAAGAAGGGCGAGGATTTCAGTTTTCTCAAGACCGAGTGCCAGCGGGTGCCGGGGAATGGCGTCACCACCTTCTCCGTTTTTGCGGTACCCACACCATTTTTTTTCCTCATGCGGATTGCTTAATTGTGCTCCGTTTTCATAGAAGTAAGTTGTTGGTAGAACAATTACGGCAGCTGAAGGGAACCTTTTTTGGGGTAGCCAGTGCAGTTATTAACAGGGGTGATACGCGAAGATCTGTTTCTGATGATGGTTGTTTTTGTTTTCGGTGTTTGTTTGCTGGTTTAGCCTGTGACATGGGTTGGTGGCGGAATTTAAGCTAGATATTGCTTAAGCCCTGCTCAAAATAGGAAACGAAACAACATCCTAATTTTAAACTATTTCTTAAGGTTCTAATTGAATCTTGGCTCAATTATTTTGTCACTAACATATCCCTTTATAGATGAGGTCTTTTTATAAAGAAGAATTGCAAAAAATAGGGGATTGTCCAAAACACGACTAGAAGCTGTGCAAATAGAATTGTGCAGAATAGAGTAATTCTCTAATGCAACGCTCAATTGGAATTAACGGAGGGGATTCGTTTAGTTGACGCAAAATAACTGGGAACCTTGGAATAAAGCACATGATGATGACGAAATCTTAATCTTGTGACATTGCTTTTGTTTGGGAAGTTCTCTGTTATCTTGTTTATCATCTGTCATTCCTAATTTTATCTAATCAATTTTAAAGTTATGCTGCCATCTAACTGCGATAGATTGATGAAAAAATGCATCAGGTGATAAAAAAATTGATATTTTAGCTTTTTTAGCTGACATGTGGAACTTTAAAGAAGTATTAATGGATTTTCCATGAATTGTTGGTAAGAGATTTCATTTTAGCATTTTCTGTAGGTATGAATCAAAAGAGGCATGGTTTCCTTAGCTGGTAGATCATAAATAGGTTTCGGAAGAATCTTTACTGAGGGCTATCTTATATCAGTATATCACATTCTAATTGAGTTTACTTATTTTTTTTCCTTTTATTTTAAGTATGGATAATTCCACACGTGGAAAATTTCATTCCAATTAATCCGCAACTTTGGTAAAACTGGATCTTTCTTATACTTTATCAAAGTACCTTAATTTTTATTTTGTATCAGTTGTGGGCCCTGATAAATAAGCTATTTCCCATTATCTTGAATGCTGTTTTAAATGGAGTCACCATGTGCTAGCCTTTTGATTTTTTTTTTGAACATTTTAACTAGATCAAGCTCTCAGTTACCTTAGTCTTGTTGTACAGTCAAATCTGAGACACTTGCTCAGCTGTTGTTGCTCAAACAAAATATGTTGAGCAAGGGGGGCGATATCAAGACTAATGATACACCTGACACAAGTTGACAGCGTTCCCTGCCTGCCATTCATGACTAGTACGCGGTGGTCTACCTTCTACTATATTTTCCATATTGGATGTGGTGGGAGGCATTGTTGACTTTCCTGTGTTTTAAGCATCGCTTTTAATATGTAAACATGGAAATGAAAGTAATTGTTTGATGCGGCAAGATTATCAAAGTACTTGATCAACATTGGGACCTAATAATTTAGTTTGTTGTAAAGTTATCCTTACATTCCAATAAGGTTTTTTTGTTACTTGTTTTTTGTTTACTTATTCATTCTTTAATGAAGTATTGTCCTGGATTAGGCTTTAGTTGGTACTAATTGTAGTTTAACCCAGATACTATGAAGAATTCTGATCTTCACATGTACTGAATTTTTTAGGCTAAATTTTCTATTTTATATGAATTTGGTTGGTGGTGCTAATTGTTTTTAGATGCAGAAGGTCTCTTTCAAGACGTGTAAGTAACCTACTTCTGTTTGTTGCTAACATTTGTTAAGCCTAGCTTTGAAGTTTTTTCTAATGAATACTAGTAAGTATTATAGTTTTTCTCAAAGAAGTAATATTTTTGTCATTCATCGACGATGTGGCAAACTTTTTTGTGGTGTTCTAAGCAGAGTTGCTAAATTGATTCATAGCATTGTGCTTGTTGTGATATTGCAAATAATTCATAATATTATTATTATTATTATTATTTTCTTACACGTGATGTCAACCCGAAAATCATTTCATTTTGATATAAAAGCTGCTCAAACTTGTATGACATAGTTTAATACTTAATAGTGAAAAGATTCTACCAATACAATTAAAACTTTTATTGACATAATCTAGTAATCTACCAAGCTGTCAAACAGCTGACTAAGATGATGCTTGGTTTGGCAACATGTATTTTAATGTTATTAGGATGATTTTTTTTTTCAAGTTTTGAATTATTATCCACACACTGTCCATCACCTAATAAGATTGACAACCATTTTCGTTTGTTTTCTGCAGCTATTTGATGGTCACAATGGATCCACAGCTGCTATATATGCCAAGGAGAACCTCTTAAATAATATTTTATGTGCCATACCTGCAGATGTTAATAGAGATGAGTGGTTAGCAGGGCTACCACGAGCTTTGGTTGCAGGATTTGTTAAAACAGATAAAGATTTTCAAAATAAAGGTGCGGCTATGATTGGCTGTTGGAAATTAATTTCTAATTCTTCTAAGCTTTTAGTGCTAGAATGTCCGTTATATTGCAGTAACCTTATTTGTCTGCCTTATTATTATGTCCTAGCATTAATGCCTTATTCCTTTAGTTCTCTATGTTTATGCCTGCTTGACCTATGAAAATAAAGATTATAATGACATATGGAAGTTTTAGCCGATTAAGAGATTGCGTGTATGTGCCATGACCATCAATGTACTGTTGTCTCTTAGTATGCTTGCTGCATCCCTGAACGTGACTTCTCGCTGTACATGGCTAGATGCAACCCTTTAGATACTATAATGCTAAATTTTTAAATTTAATCAGAGGCTATGAACTTCATTTGTGTTCTAGATAAAGGAATGACTGAGTTTTTATTATATTGAAGGTCCATGTTAAAAATACAGAAATGCTCTGTTCTTTTTCTTTCTTTGATGTACAATTAACCACTTGTTATTATCACAAAATTCTATCTCTAAATTATTTTCCGTAACTTTCCCAGCGAAAACTTCAGGAACAACAGTTACATTTGTGATTATAGATGGCTGGACAGTAACAGTAGCATCAGTTGGTGATTCACGCTGTATTCTTGAATCTGCTGAAGGTTCACTTTATCTTTTATCAGCAGATCACAGGCTAGATGAAAACAAAGAAGAGTAAGTTTAATTTAGTTTTGTTGTATAAATTTGTTCAGGCAACAAGTTACGTTGTTTTTTATAATTTATGCTTATACAGGGTGGAACGCATTACTGCAAGTGGGGGTGAGGTTGGGAGACTAAATCTCGCTGGTGGAGCAGAGGTGTGTATCGATTCCTTGATGACTAGTTTCTTAATCTATAGTAATGTAAAGCCTTTTTTTTTTTTGCACATACAGTAGTAACTATCTTTGTCCAGCAGCGAGTAAGCATTCATGGTCAGTGTGCAGTTTGTTCTTTCATTTTTTTTACCTATGTGCTTAAAGGTGGATATGATCCTCATAATTGTGCATTAGAATATAACATCAATGGTAGCATGTCTTTTGTGAGCTAGTTGCAAAGATAGATTGATATTTTCTGGTGTTCATGTGCTTGAAAAATCTTGTCCTTCTAAGGTAGGGAATTTAATTTTTTATGGGGTGGGGGTTTGCTAATGAAGGGTTGGGTCATGCCAAATATTAATGTTTTAGGTGAGTTTTTAAAAAGTGTGCTGGTTCAAGCATTGTTTTTCAGAGATCTGCTATGGAAGGTAGTGTTTGCTGATGTTAAGTAGACTGATTTTTTTCCCTATGAAATACTGGATCTCCTCACCAGTTCTTTGGTTCTTATAAGCTGTAAGAGGCCGTGAGGCTTTTTCGGTGTGTTAGTGCATTCTCCTGTGATAGTGCATTCTCCTGTGAAGCATTAAACAGAATTTAAAGTACAGATGCATTTAAAACTTGTGTTGGGATGTTTTTTCCCAGGTTGTTAGTCAAGTAATTTGTTGAAGAAAACAGGGAGCACGATACTGCTATCTTGTTTATGTAGCAAAAAAACTGAAAAAATTCAAGTACTAAGCACGATCTGGGGCGGTAGGGGTGGTTGTGGGTTTGAAAGGGGCTATCAAAATTGATATAAGCCTATTTTACTAAGCCCTCTAAAATCTATCATGGACATGTTCAAGCCTAAGATTTATGATTGGCTTAAGTGGCCAATCCATTAAGGCCCATTATAATTTACTTTGTTTCTCCAAGAAAAATGATCGTAAAAACTTGCTACATTTACTCCAAATCAACTCAAACTATTTTAATTGGATATAAGTTTAGGATGGCAGTGTTGATCTTTGAAATTATTTTACCATGCTGGTGGCAGTCTGACGTAGCTTTTCTTCATGAAACCACAAGGGATGGCTGATTTAGTAATCAACTAAATTTAATGTACATTAGCATGCATGAAAATGGAAAATAGATGATTCGAGTGTACTCCTTTAAGAGCTTGAACCATGTGATTCATTCAAATTGCATCTCCATCTCTTTTCTTAACCTTACCTGACCAACTTTCAATTTTATTTTTGAGGTTCATGGGTAGAAGGTAGTTTTATTTGTGACCATTAAGATTGAACCTAATAACTATCTTTTTCCTTTTTTAATATTTTCTTTTGGACCTGCACCTACTTCTCTGCCAGTAAAACTCAGAGTCTCTCTTTCTTTTTTATTGTAACGGCAGTGGATTTGGTGGGGTGGCTAATATCTGATTCCTAATTTTTAATGGCGCTGACAAATGTTGTCGCTGTTTGATTGCAGTAATGACTGCTATAGTGGGTTGGGAGCGATGTTACATAATCATTTGGAAACGACTTTTGCATCTTTTTTTTTTTTAAAGGACTCCCTGTTTTACTTTTAACTTCGATAAATTATTGCTTCTTGATCTGATGAAATCTGTTTCCAGATAGGGCCTCTCAGGTGTTGGCCTGGTGGCTTATGTCTCTCAAGATCAATTGGAGATATGGATGTTGGCGAATTCATTGTTCCTATTCCTCACGTGAAGCAGGTGAAGGTATGTATTTCATGTGAAATAACTATAGCTTTTGCATTGCATTGTTTATTATATAAAATGATTTAATAGTATTCAAAGAATTCATTATGTTTAATAATGAAGGTTGAGGGCTAATATTAGGTTGATAATTTATCATAAAATTTATGCCAAAATTCATAAAATAAGTCAATATTGAATTTTTCTATTGCTAAACTATTCTACAAAAGTGATGTTTTCCCTAGGATATCAATCATAAGTCACGCGCTACAACATAGGTCAAGTTTTGTGAAAAATAAGCAAGGGCTGACTAGGAGTAAAGCATCTCTACTTGTAAGTGATCTGCAACAACTTATCTAAATTATGATAAAAAATTGGCAATGATTGATTAGGTTTAAATTTAAAATTATATTTGCTCTAGGAATTTGAATAGTTTAAATGGGAAGATAAGAATAAGGGGATATAATAATTAAAAGAAGAAATGATATTTCTTTTTTGAAAGAAATTATGTGGATAGGGGAGAATCCAATCACATTGGAGAAGTGCATAAGCTTTCATATGTTGTGAAGAGTGAGGATATGGACGTGGATATAACTGTAATAGTTAGGGCTATTTGGTTGAAATGGATGTTAGAGTTATTAAAATTATGAGGTTATCATATTAATATTATCACATATATAAAATATTTATTATGAATTCATAGTATTTATTCTTATGATATATCCTCATTATGAAGGATATTCTCTTTTATTGTACTTATTGCGTTATTTGTCTGCCTTTATGCAAATATTTTATTGCTAGGATTAGAGTTATTCAAATAAAGTGTTAAGAGTGCGGGCTCCGAAAATTATGTGCACCTCGGCCTCTCCGCACCAGTCTATTTCTTTTATTGGGATGACGGTGGAGAGTTTTAACGAGCTTAGGTTCTAGGTAAATTTTCAGAAGGCAGGTTGGGTTTTAGATAAGACACTGCCCAGAGATTTCATCCTTATTTTGTGAGGACTTAATGAATTGAGTTCTGATTTCCTATAGGCGCAAGCCCCTATAAATAATTACCCCTCTTGATAACAAGAGAGAACTTTCGATTAAGGCTAGTTGTTTAAATAGATCGCAAAGGTTATAAATCCATCGTATAATAGCAACAGTTTTAAGGTTTGAATTTTGGATATGGATTTTGGAGTTTGCGAACATGTTGTCCTGGGCTATCACTTTCCCTGGTCTACTTAGTCAGAGGAGGTGGTCGACCCAACATGACAGAAGGTACCTTATCGACAATCATGAGTTGCTTCGTCCAAGTATACCTTGTAGACCTAGGTTGGTGTTTGTTTAAGGGTATATATATGAATCTACCTTAACTTACAGAGGGTTATATGCCTATCGAGTATACCCTATGATTCCTTACTCAAGGGATTGACGCCGTTAGGGAACATACGGGCTTTGGCCATGATCGTAATGTAATGATGTCATTTCGTGGCAAAACCACTCGATCATAGAGCATGTGTCACGTCCCTGTTGGCAAGACATTATTTGAGGATTAATCTAAGTGATACACCTGACATGATATTCGTTTTTTGTGAGCTGAGGTTAATATCAAATTTATCATCTCCGACAAACGGTTGCGGGAGGTGAATGTGCTTTAGTTTTAACTTTCTTAAGTGATATATTTTATTTTAAGAATTCAGTCTTTTATTGGTTTTGAACCCATCCGGTAGAGATTTTTCGTCAACATGGTCATCATCGGGTGACGTTAAAGTCACTGTATTATTGTAGGAATTTGGAAGGCATTTTATGATTCAAGTCAGGTCAACTCCAATCCTTTCATGGAAGGATGAAACTTGAATATTTGACTCACGCAACATTCTCAATCATTGACATTTATAAATTTATCGCATCTGTCAGAGAACATGCGGGTTTATTTGTTGACCTCTAAACAATAACCAAAGAAATGAAAGGGAGAAGAAAGCAACGAAGAAATCCTATGGCACATACCCGTCGGATCCACGAAAGCCTCCGCGAATCCTGCTGAATCCGGCGCAGAACAATCATTTCTCCGCACTTCCTGCGTGAAATCGACTCTCGATCGCTGCCCTGTTCTCGTTGTTAAATAGCGACCCTTCTCGGCTCTGCTCGTTCCACTTCCGCACTCGCTCTCTGCTTGTTCCGATCGGAAGCCCCACACGATCGCTACTTCCTCTCCTTCAACTTCTTCCTCTCTTGCTCTCTGCTGCTCCACGCGAAAGACCCAAGCAAGGTTCCGACTCCAACCTTACGACCGAACTCCTCCACTGTGCCGATCCAGAAGGCCGTAAGCCTTGCCCGATCCAGAAGGCTCTCTGCTTGTTCCGACCGGAAGCCCCACACGATCGCTACTTCCTCTCCTCCGACTTCTTCCTCTCTTGCTCTCTGCTGCTCCATGCGAAAGACCCAAGCAAGGTTCCGACTCCAACCTTACGACCGAACTCCTCCACTGTGCCGATCCAGAAGGCCGTAAGCGCTGCAGATCTGGTGGCATAAAAATAAATTAGGCTTTTGTTGTAACACATAGAAGATATCCCTTGGTCGTTATTATGTCACTCAACATAGCTTGTAGAAAATGCTTGTTCAATAGGCACTAGGAAATCATGTTCTTACTTATGAGTGTGTTACATCATTTGCTATGAATTGTTAGTGCTACCTACATGCTAGTTGTATGCACTATCAATCCCTTGCTCCTACTCGCAAATAATTATAACATGGTTCGAAATATCTGCTTATCTAGAAATTCTTTATATGCAACATAGGGTGGTGAAAATCAAGCTGGAGCTTCCTTGATTCATGTATAGTTGTAGATATACTTGAATGCTTTTCGTAAATCCATAAAATATTTTTACTATTTGATTCATGTTTATGTAATATTTCCCTTTAATTGTAAGACCTTCCAATCATCATCTATACAAACTTCTTCATCAAGGCCTTCTTTGACATTACTACCATCATCAACAAGTATGCGCCAATGAAGCATGATCTTCATGATATGCTATACAAATTGAGTGGCATGAAAAGTTGCATTTTGCTTGCCAATTCAAAAAACTAGAAAGACTGTGCTTTCAGGAAAAGAAAATTTGTTCAAGAACATCTTCTTGAAAATTTCCATATGCCAAAGTCACCAAGTCCGTTGTGACTAATTATTTGAGAATCATAGTTTGATATTCTTTTCAATTATAATATCATAGGTATGTGATCAAAGATTGGCAGCATGAACTCTAAATTTTCTTTTTTATCTTATTTTATTTTGCTCTTCAATGACCATGGTAATCATATAATATAATTAGCTCAGCCCAACAAGTCAATCCATATTAATGGTTGGAAGTGGAAGATTAAATCCACCAATACTATAGTCATTTTAAATTAAATGATTTCAATCCCAACCATCCAAAATAGAATTCTGAGTATGATTCGAGTGTGATCCCCATTTTTATTTTTATTTGCTTAGAAGGAGAAATTTTTTTGTATTAAGTGAGAGTCATTTATCAGTTTCAATTTCGACAGCCTCCATGCGTTCCCTCCCCCGAGGGGAGGTTGGGAGGTACTTGTCTTTGATTCTACCCGCCCAGATCTAAGATACAACGATGCGAGGTCTTCGAATTTAAACCATCCTACCCGGATCAAAGATCGATGGCGTAGGGTCTTCAATTTTAAACTATCCCTTGCTTAGAAGGAGAAATTTTTTTGTATTATGTGAGAGTCATTTATCAATTTCAATTTCGACAGCCTCCATGCGTTCCCTCCCCCGAGGGGAAGTTGGGAGGTACTTGTCTTTGATTCTACCCGCCCAGATCTAAGATACAACGATGCGAGGTCTTCGAATTTAAACCATCCTACCCGGATCAAAGATCGATGGCGTAGGGTCTTCAATTTTAATCTATCCCGGCCGGATCTAAGATACAACCGGGGTCTTCAAATTTAAAACCATCCGCCCGGATCAGAGATCACAACGTGGGTCTTCGATTTGAACATTCCTAGCTGGATCTAAGGTCGACGGTGCAGGTCTTCAACACCTGTATGAAAAATCTCATCCTTTATATATATATATATATAAGAGTGGGGGAAGAGAGGGCAAGGATCAGACATGGCGTCTAGGATATGGGTTTGGCCGACGCGATGTAGAGCTGTGGACGATTCGGCACTGGTAGGTGGATCAGAGAACAGGGTCCCATGGATTGAAGGCTGGACATTGGGCCAGCACGTAGTCCGAAGCCGCAAGAAGGGCTGGGGCTTCGGCTTCGATTTGGGCTCAAGATGAAAAGAGGCAGTGGCTGGAGGTGCAGGAGTGGGTTGACGCAACTAGGGCTTCCGGTCAAGGTACGTATAAGTTGGTCGCTATGGGTTGAGGGATCATAAGCGAGAGGAACAGAGAAATAAGAGGGATAGCGAGCGGTGGAGAGTTCCAATATCATGGGGCGGTTCAAATGGTTGCCTAGGAGTTTTATCTTGTGTGAGTGAGAAGTTACAGGAGTTACAAAGGAGCAGATTCTTGAGATCGTGGGGTGGTTTCCTGTCCACGGTCAACAAAGAGTTCTTATACTTATTGGATTATCAAATTAGTATTATTATTTTTTGTTAAAAATTTATTAGGAATTCATAGTGTTTATTCTTGTAACATGGAGGATATTTCTCTTTGTATTTTTCTTATATGTTCTTGGTCCCTTCTTCTGTTCGGATAGGTTCTTGAGAATAAAGGTTGTAAGCTTGTCCCTCGGATCTACATCTGATAAGTAGCCACAAGCAGGTCACTTCGTTATTATCATCTGGGTCTTTGCGTGAAAATTTCAGAGTCGGGGTTGCCACATTCGTGCATTGAACATACTTAATGAAATTCTTGATCATATCAGCTAATTTTGCAGTGTCACGAGCACCATTTACAAGTGATGTACGTGTTCTGCTAACAAATTTTGACTGGGCTCCAAGCTCACACCCAAAGTATTTGGTAGTGTAAGAGGCAGGCCTTGCCAATGCTTTTGCAATTTTGACCATATTAACTATATTGGTCTTAATGCCATTTCAGCTACCCTCTATTTTTGTTATTTTCTTTGGCATTTTATAGCAGTAGAAGACATCATCACTGTTGGGAGCACCTATGTTTTGGAACGCCATCTTCAGCAGTGGACACTAAAAGAACAAGGCCGTGCTAGACAGTATCAGCAGTAAAAGATACCGAAAGGCCTACTTTAGGATATATCTCTAGAAAAGCAGGTTGCATAAAGTGGTGACTTTTGATTAATATAAAATCCCTTATCGTTTCATGATGAAAGTGACCAAATTCTCTATTGATCCCAAATAAAAAGAGACATAAAGACCCACTACTCGTGACAATCTCCTATGAAAGATATGCATGGTTCAAAGTTGAACTTATTAATAGTTGCAAAAAATAACTCTAATAACAGAGAAGTGCATGTGGAGCAGTATGTGATAATGAAATAACATTGGAGCTTAAAGATAAAATTTATAAAATTATAAATAGGCTTGTATGCATCATAATATTGGGTATAAAAGTAGTTATTATTAGACAAACTGTGTGTGATATAAATGAGGATGCAAAAATGAATGTCTGACAAAACTTAAAAGGATAGATTAAGAAATGATTATTTTAAGGCTTAAACGGGAGTAGCATCTATTCATCATAAGGTATGTTGTAGTGAAAATATAATTAGATGGTTTGGGTATCTAAATTGAAGGATAGAAGATGCACCAATTTAATCAGTATATATGAACATTGGCAAGGATTAGGATGAAAAAAAGGGTAGATCAAAGATATTTTGGATAGAGTTGTTCATAAATATTTTTGCAAGATATATTTATTCCTCTATGCAAAACTCAAGAAGGATGAATGAAAAGTGTCAAAATCCAGACTTTTAAGAGCAAACCAATCCAACGGCTACAGTGCTCAATCCGTGGGACGCACGACTCATGACATAACTCTTTCCATATTCGAGCTGTTGATTTAGGAAGGATTATATTAGAATTATTTTGTAATTATTTTTTTCCATATTAAGGTATCTTGTATGGATTTAATAATAGAGGATAAATCACGTAAGAAATCAAGCTTTTCTTTTCAAACCTCTAATTTCTAACAAAAAGTTAAAAAAAAATTATATATCAAGAAGGATGAATGAAAAGTAATTGGAACTTGGGATAAATCTAATGATGACAAAGATGAGAGAGACATGAACACAGGTTTGGATGGTTTAGTTTTTGTTGCTGATAGTTATAAGTTTGTATATCCTAGTTTGACTATTTTTTTAATAACTATTCTAATACTTCCTTGTAATTTGATCGCCATAGTTGGCCATACTTAACAAAAGAAGTTTTTTGTTTGGATCTATTTCAGTTAAAGTTGATCTGCATTTTTTTTACGGATTTGTTTTCCACTTTATACATTTGGATTTGATGTAAAAATGTTCTTGTGCTGTTCCAATGCTATTTTGGCAGCTATCAAACGCAGGTGGCCGCCTTATCATCTGTAGTGATGGTGTATGGGATGCTTTGAGTTTCCAATCAGCTCTTGATTGTTCTCGTGGACTTCCAGCGGATGTTGCTGCTAACAAAATTGTTAAAGTATTTCGTAATAATGAATTTTATTTTCTAATATTTTAATCAGTTGAAAATTGTCGTATCTGCTAACCAAATATTCATATTTCACTTGTAGGAAGCTGTTCTTGTAAAGGGTCTCAGAGATGATACTACATGTATTGTCGTTGATTTATTGCCACCAGAGAAGATATCCCCTTCTGCTGCTCTAACGAAGAAGCAAGGAATGAAGGGATTAAAGCATATGTTCCGCAAGAAGTCCTATGAGTCACCGTCTCATCATTTAGTTAGAAATTATTTTGAACCGTATGCAGTGGAGGAATTGTTTGAGGATGGTTCTGCAGTACTTGCTCAGAGGTCAGTATATTTTATAACGAAATAATTGATCAAAGGTCTTCATTTTTTCGTGGTTGGTTTTGCAATCCATACATTTAGTGTAACCGTCCACTGCCAGCGCCAAAAAATACTATTCGTTATTTTCGTAATATTAAATATTTTATTCATAGATAAGGATGTTTTATATTCCCATTTCCCCTTTGTATGGTGAAGTAATATCTACTATGTGTTCAGCAGCAAACACATGATATGAGTCCGTCTCCTTTCATGTGAAGTGTGTTAAGATCTTGACATTATGCTTTTGCTTACAGCATCAAATGTTGACGCAAACTTGCATTCAATTTTATTTTGACAATGCAAGTTGTGATATGCATGAAATAGGGAAGTGGGAAGCTTGAGACTAATTTAAGGAGAGAAAAGGAGAGAGAAAGAGGAATGAAAGAAAAAGCTTTTATGTTATTGTGGAGTATATATTGACAAAGCAGTAGTATGGTTGTGCCAGGAAATTTGCAATGATTCCATGGACATAGGGAAGGTCCCTTTTTGAGGAAATTTTAATTCTTTTATTCTTAGTATTTGTTATGACGAGCCATCTCTTTTTTAGTAAGATTAGGTGTATTTGAGTTTAAGCAAGAGTTTTTTTTAGCAAGGTGTGAATTTTTTAGTAAATCATATCCTCGCTCCTCTCTAGTGGGTATAAGCTTGTTCTAGTCAAGTCACATAATTTTTTTTGTCTTCTGTGGTGCTTGATTTCATTTTTATTACTTTATGTATTCACTGTGTTTATTATTAAGATGCACTTTCGTATAAGTAATTTTACTACAACTAGTATTAGAGTCTATGGAATATAAAGGCCTTGATGTATGAAATAGAGAACTTTGATGATTCAAAAGTTTTGAACTTTGGAGGAATAAACTTCAAGGCATTTTAATCTACCTTGGTTTTTGAAAGCACTCATGGGGCATTCAAATACATCCGATATTTTGAATGAAGAAAAGAAAATAAAGTTTAATTGAAAAGCTCTCTGTGCATTCTAACTATATTTGGTGGAAATGTTTTGATGGAAGTTTTTGAGGAAACATCTGTATAGGGAATATAACTCAAGTTAGAGTATTTGTATATTGATCAACAGATTATCCAATTAAATTTATTAAAATTAGAGATTAAATTTGCTTTGCATACAATAAAATGTACTCATTAAATAATATCTTAATACGTGGACACAACACATCATGGACATGATACGTTTTTATAAATTATTAATATGTGTAAGCAAAATACCTAATGTTTATGTTTTTAGTAAACAAATATTGAATAATGAAATAATATCATATTTATCACATAAACGCTTAAGGATAAAAAAAATGGTTAAGTACAATTAATTTTTGATTTTTTATCAAATGTAATTTTTTTTAGACACTGCACTTAATTGTCAACAATGCATCGACATAGGCATTGATCATTAGGCATGACTTAGTTAACATCAATATTATATTGTGATTATTGTCTACACAAAATGCCAAAAAAAAAAAAGAATATATTATGTTAAAGAAGTATAAAAAAATTGAATGCATTGATACACTACTAATTAATCCAACATTCTCGGCATCATGATTATCATCACTATTAAAATCAATATCCTCTTAAATAGAACGTTTAATGTCATGGATAAAAAATATAGTTTGTAATATACAAAAATACACTTCATTATCATCACATTCCCCAACTACGGTAGGATGTTCTTAGATCTTATCTAACTCTAATTTTATAAAAAATATCAAACATGATTTTTCAGCATGTCTGTAACGTTGGAGGCTTATCCATATTGGCACAAGCACATAAAGCTCTTTTAAGTGTTCTTGCTTCATACATTACAAAAATAAATGGCACATCAAAAAGATTATCGAGCTTCGAAGAATAAGGAGCAACATACCAAGGCCAATCATAGAGGATAAGCATTAAGCCAGCAGATGCTAGTGTTGTTACATATTGGTTAGGTACATATCGAAATGATTCTTTTGGTGATTGTTAGAGATAGATGTAGTGATAAATGGAATTCAAGTTCTGCTTGCTCACACCATTTATGCTATTATGAGGAATCGTTTTTCACTTAAGGATCACATAGATGTTTATACAGCAACAACAACAACAACATCAAGCCTTTATCTCACTACGTGGGGTCGACTACATGAATTCACTTTCTTCATTGTGTCCTATTAAGAGTCAAGTTCTCATTTAAATCTAATAAAGAATGGTCATTTCTAATATTTTCTAACCTAGTCTTTTTAGGTATATCTCTAGCTTTCTTTAACATAGGCCAAATCTTATACATCTAATCTCCTAATCAGGTCATTTGAAGGCCACCATTTTATGTGACCAAACCATCTAAGGTACAACTTTCTCTAATCTTATCTGCCATTGGAGCTAATCCAACCCTCTCACATATATGCTTGTTTCATATCCTGTTTCTAAGAGTAAAGTCACTCATCCACCTGAGCATTCTCATCTCTACAACACTTAACTTAATATTAAGTTGCTCTTTTATTGGCCAACATTCTATGCCATAAAGCATTGCAAGTCTCACCACCTTTTATAGGATTTTTTCTTAAGTTTGAGGGGTACTTTTCTATCCCACAACAAGCTCGATCACATAGATGTTTATATGTGAAATAAATTTGCGTACATTACTTGGTGGGATTGTGACGTTAAGGATGCATCATGCATGATGGATGACAAGGATATTGACAGGAGTTGAGCATGTTTCATACCTTAGAAGGAATATTGTATTGTTGCATGCAATCAATGAGCAGGTCAAATATTTTAGGAGTTGTTAAAGTCCCAATAGATTTTAGATGTGCGTTGGTTGTCATGAACGTGTAGAGAGTTGGACTTTATGCTGAAGGGTGAAACTTTTAGGGAAGTTGCGTTGGATTCATCTTATATATTGATTTACTGTGTTTTAAGTAAATAGAGAAATGCTATTTTTTTTGCTACCTGTTATGTTTTAAAATAGATATTACATTTTGAATAGAAAATTATTGGAGATGATCAACTGGATTTATCTAGTATTGCACTATTTGTTGAGTGCCATGTCTTATCATTGTAACATTTAGAGTGAGGATATAACCACTTTTAGGATTAAAAATTTAATGGCAGGTGCACTTTTGATATCAGTGGATGCATTTTAGCGTGCATTAGATTTGCTTTAGAGGTCTCTTGTGATTGCTAAGTTTAGGCATTACTTCAGTTTTTTAAGATTCTACAATGCCCAACCTTTTCTGCTTGGTAGGTTAGAGCGCTGAACTTAAACAGGATTTATAATTATCATATTCCTTAGGTTGTTGTGGGGGGGGGGGGGGGGATTTTGGGAAATTTTATTTAATAATTTAGTCAATACTTCAACAACAACAACATCAAGCCTTTATCCCACTACGTGGGGTAAGCTAAATGAATATGTTGTCTCCATTGTGTCATGTTAAAAGTTCATTTAGTCAATACTTTTGAAAGCACAAAATTGAAATAGGGGATTTGTTATGATAAATTTAGTACATAATTCATCTATTTTGGTATTTTGGGATAAAATCACATTCAAAGTTTTGTTTTTTATATTAATTGTCATTTATGATAGCATAGGGTCAAAATTTAAATATAATACAATTTTTAAATCATCCCCCACTCCATAAAACAAAAACTTATAAATAGGAGACTACATGTGGGCACGAGCATTAACTCCCTTAAAGTTGGAGGGCTATTTATTGTAATATGCTTGAAAAGTGGTAAGCTTCAAAGTTATTTTAGAGAGAATTTTTATAGGTTACTATAGATCATTATTGAGGCATCTCTGAAAAATTAGTATCGGGCACAAATCTTAATGCAAGTTGAAGTAGAAAGCTTTCAAAATTCACCTCCAGATTATCTCAACTCCAATTTCAACAAATTTATAGCCAAAATGATTGATGAGATGAGCCTAACGACAGTAAAAGTGATCTGATTTTATTCAAAATAAGGAACAAATAATATCTCAATTTTGCATACTTATTATCAAGTCAAGTATCTTGATGAATAAATTTAGTTTTCCCAAGATCGCTTAATTCCAATTTCATTAAGATGATTAAATGTTGAAAGAGTGGCCTATGATCAAGGAAATCATGCTGACTATCTGATGGAGTGTTCCAAAATTTGATTATATTTATGGGGCATGATACCTTAAAATTTTATATATAGGCCTTTACTCTACATGAAGGGGGTTTAATCTTGGCTTGTGATTAAAGTTAAAAGACAAAAATTTGGAGCTATACCTGAGCACCACATTAGGATCACCGTGAAACCGCTGTTGTTAGAACGACACATTGACCACTATTATTGGACCGTTATCATCTGATGTCATCCATCATTGGATCATTGTCGCTTGATCACGATCCCCTCTCCACAGTTGCCCAACTGCGATCCCCACACTCACCATTGCTCAACTACAGTCCTTTAACAATCATCACTTAACTACATTCCTTCGACCATTCTCGCTTGACTATGATTTTTCGACCATCGTTGTATAAGTGCAATTTTTTGAGCACCGTCGCTAACTATAGTATTTTGATAGCTGTAATGACTACAATCCTTTGATCATAATCACTAGCCTATTGTTGCTTAACCATCATCAATTTATGATAATTCGATCATTGTCCCCCGACTAGGGTTTCCCGACTATCATTGTCCGATTCATATCATCTAACCATTGTCTCCCAACTACAATCACATTACTTTGGTCGCTTGACTGTGTTCTCTCACACCTTACCACAATCATTCTATTGCTGTGGCACAACTAATGTCTTCCATGCACTAGCACCTGACCATGGTACTCTAGCTACCATCCCTCGGCTATGGTACTTCAACTCACCCTTCCATTACTATAATGCTTCAACTGCAATCTCCTGATTATGATCCTTTGATCACCATGGTTTGATTATGATCATCTGATCATTATTGTCTGACTATAATCTCCTAACCACTATGACCCAATAACA